ATTGTTTTGCCACAAATCTGTGTGTGTATAAATTGATTCAAAATTTCGGTAACAGAATTTTGTCTTAAAAGTGCCTATGTTTGCATGTGTCGCGTTAGTGCTTTGTGCTTGTCATAATTTGATTTCGGTAATCGTTATTTAAGATTATGAGTAAATCGGAATTTTTCTCTACTAACGTTAAATGACAATGGCAGTTCTGTTTTTTCTACTCTCACGTATGATGATAAATTGTATGAAGTTAAGGAATTAAAACGTCCAGTTCCAGATTTGAGTAAATCGTTAATTGATCTATAAAAAATTTAAAATAAATCCAGAGTATTTATATTTTATATTTTTTTCGTTTTGTTTTATGTTATAAATCAAATTAGATTTATTTTATGTTTTATTTGATTTTTTTCTGTATGTTTTCTTTAAAGTTTATTTTAATTTTGTTTTTTGTTAGAAGTTATATTAGTTTTTTCTGACCACGTTTCCCTTTCCTTTTGTCCTATCATTCCCATCCTTTCCTTGCAGGAGTTCCTTACACCTTCACGTTGGTTCTTGGTGGACAGTTAAATGAGTTTACAAATTTGTTTATTTGACTAAGTAGAAAATATTTAAGTAATCTTGCATTATTTATATTTTGGAGCGTTTTGTGTTTGCCTCATCAACTTTTCAAGTCATGAGCCGCCCCTGACTAGAAGTAGAACAGAGATATGTAAAAGACTAGATACAGATATTTAATGTTCTCGTGGACATACGTTTAGGCCCAAGATGTCACTGTACGTTTATATCTCCCTCTTTTTCTCTAGCACGTACAATGGTAACCCGATATCTGAAGGTCTCGCTCTGTACGGCGCAACCAATCAGTTGGCGCAACGTTTGTCGTTGATGCCGTTCTTGTGGTTGTGCCGGTCCCTGTCAGACCAATCAGACTGTGAGTGGTTATGATTATTTATAATTGCCGCCATCAGAACGGGCCAATAACAAGACAACCACCTTTTAGAGAGTGATCGATGTAGCCTACACTTGGCAATCCATAGTACTGGTGCTGATATAGAAAAGGATAGGCGACACAAAGTATTGCTACTCTTAGATCATAGATGTTGGCCCTAGATCGGGAAAGCTATAACCGCATCTGTCTTTTACATATCTCTGAAGTAGAATGACAGTTTTGGCAGCCTGTCAGTTGTCAGTTTGCCATTGCAGTAGTGGAAAATTTCATTCATAAAGATGTTAGTGTGTAATCGTAATTCACAGATGGCGAAACGATCTAAAGCGCGCCAAAGCCGCCTAGGACACCCAAATTTTATTCCACCAAGTTTCCCTTAGTGTACCAACCTTATATTCTACAGTCGTGGGCTTACCCCATTAAGCGATCTATACATTTTCACCTATTTCGAAAACGTTGATGGCGGTACCAGGCCGAGTCCGTATAGGGAATTTTGTTCTGAGCTGTCAACTAGTGCACTAACACCCGCCAGTGGCGTAACTACAAAGTGGTCTACTACGACGTAACTACTCATATAATTACGATTGAACTTCGTTAAGGTAAGTCGTTTAATCTTAAATTATGCTATTTACAATATTATGAAAATGCTTCCAAGCCACGTCCGGATTAGCAGTATTATAAGTTACCGACCAATCGCAATTGTTATTCAGGTAATGTTTAATTCTTGGAATATCAATTTTAGTGATCTTTTTCTTTATATGCTTATGTTCCTTCTTCACAAGTATTTAAATATTGAACTCTAGCAGCGCATGGTCTGACTTTCCCATGGGGGATGATGCTTGTACATCACCCACTAAATTTGATTGGTTTGTTAGCACCAAGTCTAAAAGTGAAGGTGTCTGGCCACTACGAAATCTTGTTGGCTCGGTAACTAATTGGACAAGACTAGAATTTACTATCAGACTCGAAACCAGACCAGAACTACTGTGATTTGCAGAAATTGACTTTAGAGGCCAACTGATACAAGGAAAGTTAAAATCTCCAGCCACAATAAAATTGCTATGAGCTTCCCTTAATCGTCAAAGTTCAGATATCAATATAATATCGTTCGCTATGAAAGTACTAGAGGGTCGATATACACATCCAAGAGAAAAAGAAAATTCGTTCCAAAGTTGTAAAAATAAGGATTCAATCTGCGGAGTCTCAACCTTTATTCTGGACACCCTAAACCGTTGGAAAATTGACTTATTAAGCAGAACACAAACGCCCCCACCCCTTCCGTCACGAGCAGTTCTATAAACATTATAATCTGTTAACCCTAAGGAAGCATCAGGAATATGAGAATACAACCAAGTTTCAGTCAGTAACACACAAGCTGGGTTGTTTGCAAAATATTGGTATACATTATGTTTATATTAAAAAGTTTGAGGGCGAAGATGTAATTACGTTATTATTCATGATTACGATCTAAATGTTCATGTGAGGATGAAACAGTCCAATTTAAATATTAATCATAAGCTTTATTAAGTTTCCTTTGAACATTGATGTTACGATTTATTATGCTCGTATGGGTAAGAACACTATATGTATTTTATAGAGCATGTCTAGTAATCCGTTAATATTAAGCGTATATTTAAAAGCGATCTTAAGTATATCAGACTCACCTACAATCTCTTCCATAAAATTGGTCAGTTTATCAAAGTTCAAGGGAAAATCTTCATCACAATTTTCAATCATGTCTCTAGCTGGTTCCAACAACTCAAGGACTCCCGTTAGACTTTCGGTAGAATCGCCTACTTTAATTCTTTTTTTTTAGGTATTTTTTTACCAATTTATCTGTCTCATTTTTACGTGAAAAATCCAAAAGGTTTACCTCAAATTCAGGAGAAGCATCTTCTGTTGTTATCTGTCTTTTATTAGACACAGACTTGTCAGCATCAGCACGAGCAACTGAGCCAACTTCATTTATGTCGTGTTCTGAACTCCGTCTTGACAGTATCGAGGAGTCAAGTGAACGATCTATTTCCGTGGCAGCTCTATTCGTGTTTTTTGCTCTCTCCAAACTCGACTTTTCAACTGGTGTACCAGAATCAGCGGTATCTGACATTGTTGACGTGAGTGCAACACTTTGGCAATCACTGGCGAAATGACCAGTTTTGCGGTATTTATAACAAACATCATCATAATTTAAGAAGATTCTATAAGAAGTGTTGTCATACTTAATAACAAGACTTTGTGGGAGTTCTCTGTCATAATCAGGTTGAACAAAAATAAGCCGTCTAAAACTAAGCACATGCGCATATTTGTTAATCTCCAATCTGGCCTTCAGAAAATTCATTTGAGACACCGGAACAAAACCTAGTGAAAGCAATTGATTTACAAAAATCTCATGTGGGATCGACGGACATACGTTGGACAAAATTATTCGACGAGCTGGGTTTATCAATCTACGTACACTTACCGTTTGATCTTTTATAGTTAACTGAGAATGACAGGAAACTACTTCTTCAACAAATTCCTTAGAACTTAGATAAATACAAATGCGATTATTTGCCAGACGTGAGGCAAACAACACATTTTTGGGTTGCACAATATTTCCTACGGCCAAAACACAATCTTCAAGTTTAATGCCTTCTATGGCAGCAACAACAATTGCTTGGTCTTTTGAAGGAAAGAGATTCTGAGATGTGATTTTGACCGAATATTAAGTAGGTGACCATATTTCAACTGTATTTTAAATTTGAATTTTTTTTTTTTAATATCAAACAATTAAATAACTAGGTATTTCTTAATACAACAAAAAAAATGTTGCATGCCAAAATCAAGTGAAATATGTGAGATATAAATAAAAGTTTGCCATTTAACATATGTTGAGCCCAAAAACTCAATTAACACGGTTCCAACCCGAGAAACAATCATGTATTGATTCCGACCGTGGATGCCTCCGAAATTATTTCCAAAACTATATACTCTTGATTAAAATATTAACCGACCAAGCCAATTATTTCAACAGAAGAAATGTTTAAAAAAATTTACGCTGCAGTTTGTGTTGCTGTTGCAATTACTCTTTTCATTTCATCTGCCTCAGTTACGTATTAGAAAAGAATTACCATTAGAAAAATATTTAAAATCTCACAGCTGAAAACAAAGAAAAATTTCAGTACAAAGATATTTTTATGTGAAGTATATGCTCTATATCTACACCTTTTTTGCACTTCACCGCTGGCGGGAGTTTTTGAAATGAAATTCTAAAATTTGGAACTATGGAATTATACGAGTATAATAAACGCACATAAAATAAACAAATACCCTGCAGTTTTATTTTTCTGCATATACGAACTTAAATCTAAATTTAAATTAATTATTTCAGAGAAAAGAGAAGCCTAGAAGCGGTTCTTCCGGAAGTCTAATTAGACGCTCCAGAACATCCTCGAAGCAGAGTCCGAACTCTCCAGAAGGAACACGTGGTGGTTTAAAAAGGGATCATCATCGGGAGTGGGCAGTCTAGTTAAATTATATCCAGTCGATAATACCATTCATGTCCTCATGGTAGTTAACGGCAGCATATTAAGTATTTTAAAATTATGCTTTTATTTTATTCAAGTCAAATTTTACCTAAAAGTCTACCCTGAATAATTAATTTCATATGCGCTTTCTTTTAATCGTATGACGAGAGATTCAAGCATATTGTACATAATTTTATTTCTACTCATAAATTTTCGTCAAATTTTTCGAATGAGTTCACAAAAACTTGTTTCTTTTAAACCTTCCTTTTTTTCAAAATAATAGGCAGCGAAAGTAATATTTAAATGGTTTCAAGGAGAAGTTATTTGAAGATGACTCCAAAATTGTGGCTTTTTGGTTTGAGGACTGCTATATTTGCAGGTCTATGAGTACCTCTTAGACAAATAGCGAACGGTTACTGGTGAAATATTTTAACAAAATTGGCTCTTATGCTAAGAGAACCTTGAGAACTTTGTCGAGCACAAAACTTTGAGTTTTTTTTCAACCATTACTTTACGATGAAGGCTTAGAAATAAAACTTTAGTTTCAAGAATATGTGATATATTGATATGTATTTTAAATACAAACGCTCAGTGCATGTGTTGGTTAGAATTTTGGCAAACTGTAAAAATACAAGTAGTTCCAATTTTTGCTCTGTTTTTAATCAAATTATTTAAATTGGAGGGAGAATTGCTGATTAGTTCCAGCATTTTTGTCATAAAGCATTATCTTAGTCCCTGCAGTAAAATTAAGTCTGGGTATATCTAACACTCTACCAGTGGCGGGATTCACTATAGTTTGGTCCGGATGATTATACTGCCACTGTTGATTCGGTTCCCCGTTTTTTGACTCAGTGACTATTCCGTTAAAATTTTTGCCGTCGCCCTGTACTTGCAAGTATCTCCTAACAAAAACAAAAAAATATAACACCTAAACACATATTTACTTTTTTACTTACTGACTACCAACATTCTTTATCAAGAAGTTGCCCGTTTCAGTACGCTCAAATCGCCATAGTTGAAGCGGACTCCCTGTATATTCCTGGAGTTGCGTTGGATTTTGACTCCCATCCAGAACAAGCGAAGATGCAGGGCTAACTATGATGATGGAATTATGGTGTTCTGGATACCACTGAGTGCTTTGCTTGACTAAGTTACAGGGAGTTATGTATTCGCCGAGGGGGTGGCAAGCGAGCCAAGGGGAAGAACTGGTCATGACGAAGGTCTCTGCTTGATACTGACTGAAGCACCTTTGGAATTCAATGTGAATGGAAAAGTGTTATAAGTTGGTTCCGTCTTAGGCACAAGCGGCAAAACCTTGTGGATTCTGTTTAAAAAACTTTGTGCAATATAAAAATATTGTCTTGGTTTTAATACGCTACCTATATGTTGTGGTATCAACATTTCATTGCTATTATTCTGTTGAATTTTTAACATTTGATAAACTTTGCCATTGTGATATTAATATTGTGAAAATTCTATTTTTTGTGGTTTTGTTTAATTTTGCTTGCAAGAGCGATAAAATACTGGTAAACGCTTGTCATCGGGTTTTATCTTATCATGAGCATGACTAGAAAGAGTTTATGCAGTTTGAAGAGTTCGGTACTTGAAGTAAAAGTACCTATTTAAAATGGTACTTTACTTGAATACTTGGTACTTGGATTGCTTTTTTTGTAAAAGAAGGTATTTTACCTATCTCTTCATTCACTATTACAAGAAATTTTCGTATTTCAGAATACTTGAAGTACGCCAAGTACCTTAGTATTTCATAATGATTTCACATCCCAAAATACAAGAAAAACGTTCAATACTTGAAAGTATTGTTTAAATTAAGTATTTGTTTACATGGATTCTTTTTTCTAAAAGCGTGTTTTTTTTGGTGAGGTTAAATCTTATTTGTGATTATATATAAGGCTTACGACATAGTTATATTTCATGTATTTGCAGATGATTCTTATGAAATATCTGTTTCTCTGTGTATTTTGATTGTTCAAAACCCAAACGAAAAATTGAACAGAAAAGATCAAGTACCGGTTAAGAGAATGGCGTTGCAGACACATAATTATAAATAATTAACAATGAGAGATTAATCTGAGCTCTCATTTAGATACGTGTAATAAGTGCACAAATGCATATATGTTTATAAAATTTATAATATTTACTATTGTAAATTCTGAGATGACGCCATCACAGTGGTGGTGAGGATGATCGAACAAATTTTTTTTAGCGTCTTTCCATCTATACGATGTTCCTAACATACCTATATATGCACTGTATCTGCACCTCTACACTATACCAAAACATTGGGTGGTATGAATAAAACTGAGTAGATGCTCATACTCGAAGTACGAAGTAGGTATCTACTTGAGTATCAACTCAGTGTTTCTAGTTTTTCTAGATGATGCTAATATTTAATACTAAGTAGATGGAGTAGATGCTTAGGTATATAAGAAGAGATGCTCGCTAATACTAAAGTAGGTACTTCGTAGTTCGAGTATGAGCATCTGCTCAGTTTTATTTATACCACCCATTGTTATCTGAGAATATTTTTGGCGTGTGATCTTCAATGACAGCTGAAGTCCTAAAATTTACAATTTTTGTTAGGCAACATAGTTAGAATATTTTTTGGCCATAGCTTCCTCCATTTCGTGATATACCAAACTCAGTTCTTCATTTCCAAATCACAGAACGCTCTCGGCAAATCGTGGTAAGACCCATGTCTTGATTCTCAAATAACAATAGTAATAAACACATACCTACAAAAAAATCTCGAGTTTTATTTAACACCAATTCCACACTTGATTCACAACATATCTGAGCAAAGAAACTCGAAGAAATTATTAAATACTCAGAGTGCCTTTAAATAGTGGCATGCCCCGAGTTTACATTCGAAACGACCAGTAATAACTGATCCTTTCTGTAAACATAGGTTTCTTACCAGCCTCCCTGTTATCCAGGGTTTATAAAGAAGCACAATTTCCTCAATGTCCGCCTCCCAGTCCAAGGCTGCGACACATTTTCTCATTTCTTTCTTCCTGTATATCCAACAAACTATAATCGCCGAGCTGACTGAAGATATAGAAAACCCCGAAGTTTCTTGCCCTCGAAGCTGCTATGGATTCTCATAGACCAACAACGAACCGGCTTATGTTAGGCTCGACTCGTTCTGTTCCATAGATGAAACAACTAGGGGTCTCTAAGCCAGTATTGGACATTCCGCAGTTGGTGCATATGGCAGGGTGAGACCCTCCAACTGTAAGTAACCGTTCACTTGCTCTACCTGCGAAACTCCTTTTCACACTGTCTTCTGTTAGACGCCACGAATCTCAACCAAATGGTCTTCCTCGTTGACTTGCCCCCTTTCGTGAAAAACTGCCCTTTGATCCATTGTTTGATTTTTTATCCTACCTGACTCGTAGGCCCATTTCTTGAGCCCTGACAACCATTTCGCGTGGCTTTCAGACCCATTTTTTCGGCTCCGCTGCGGTTTCTGCTCTTAATTACGAGTTGTTACACGTCTCAAGCCAACTGTGAGTCCGGGTTGAATTGGATTCTTTAGATTTCTTGGTCTCCAAATAGTTTCCACGAATACCAGAGAAAAAGGTTCAATTGCAGTAGAACTGTAGAAGCGGGATACAATACAATCGAAGGACGCCATTCAGAATTCAGGGCCCACTAGCGAAGGGCCATTCATTGCTTGGCACGGTAGATCCCCCACGGCATATCGGAAACACCTTAGGTCCCGGACCTGGGGAAGTCCGCATCGGGTGGTGAGAAATGTTAATTAAAACGCGAGGAGTGTTCGTTTCATAGGTAATTTATTAATACCCAATAACACAGGTTAAGCAAGACCTAACTAGCTAATCGCTTGTTAAAATAGTTTATTCTTAACTAAACAACTTGACGAAATGATGGTGCATAAGGAAAGAGAACAGTAACTGAGGCTAAACATAAAGATTAAGCTAGGTTAAAAGAAATCAGCAGGATTGTATGGCCTTATTACGGCATATCGTAGAACAGGAGGTTGTTGGGGCTTTCCTGAGTCGCAGTGCATTACTTAAAAGAACTTCAGGTACTCCCTCTGGACTTGATAAAGAAGAAGGAGTATAGAATTAATCTAACCATTTGTATTTCCAACGTTAGGGAGGCATATCTTAAAGGTAGAGGAGTATCCGGGCATTGGGTTAAGCGCGTGGATGAAGTATAATCGTGGGTCTAGAGGTTGGAATCTCCCAATATGGCACTTAGGGCCTGAATACAACCGAAAAAAGTGACCTCGCCTAAGAGGTGGAATAATCCCATATTTAACTAAATATCTTAACTGGATGGACTCAGTTGGATAGATCTAATGCCGTTTTTCCCACGATTTGTCGCCGTTAGGTCAAGCGGGTCAAAAGAAAACGGTCAGACAGACATCCTTGTCCATAATTAATGTCTGACGGAACGGAAATTTCGTGCTTAAAATACGCTTCTTTACCGTAAGGGCCAAAAGCCCGATCTTATGAGTTAGCTTCAATAATTAACTCAACCACCAAAGCCATTTATTACTTCTCACAGCCTCGCACAGCCATACTTACTCGAGCCAATCAAATCACTTCAATGACAGTTCACATCGATCACATCTCTTTGCCTTACAGTTTCTTCCCCGAACATCATAATCGAATGTATTCCATTACCAAAAATGTTTCCTTTTCATTCTTCATGCCATTCTCATGTTCAAAAGTTAGTCCTTATCAATTGGTCCAAAAATTCTGTGAGTGCGTCTAAGACCAACTTGATTGCGCTCCCTAGCCTCGGCCCAGCTACAACACGAAGTTTATCTCCCCAACACATCGTCTCATAGTTGAAGAACCTCTACGCCGAGCTTCCCCTACCTTCGCTTCAGCTGCTCGACTGATGGCCTCGCCAAGTAAGTTATTACTGGCGTGATTAATTTTCTTGGTCTGCATATTTAATTAATCCAAAAGTATGCAGTTTATCCAACAGATCATCGATTTTCCGTAAAATTACAAGTTGCTATTGATTCTCTTCACAATATGGCGCAATACTAACAGACAAAAATTTAATGAAAGAAAGAAAAAAAAAATTCCCTTTGATGTGTATCATTTATCTAGAAGGGAAGTATGGGTTTAAATAGAGGCCGTCTACGGGAACGGGTGGAGTCCAGTAGTGAGGGAAGTTGAGTTTAGTCAAATCCATTCCAATCGGAATTATTGTGAACATAATCGCTGTATACATAGTCGTGTAATTTTGTATTACTGTGAAATAAATTGTTGCGTTTTACGCATGCCGATTTTAACTACCGATCATTGTAACATTATTATTTTAGTATACGCACGTGTATTATTTTTTTTTAAGTTGTTAGAAATACCTGTTATTGCGTGTAAACCCGTTGTAAATAAATGATGATTACTATTATTGCACTATACAGGGTGATTTTTTTTATCTTTTTCTAGTTGCCAGCCCAAAATGGGCCCTAAAGTTAAGAAGCAAGGACCTACTGGTTTGGGTGATTTAACAAGTGTCGTCAATGAATGTTCGATTGATTTCTTTAATCAATTTACGTTGAACTGCGGCTGTTCCACCAGTTGTGCAACCGCTCAGGAAGAAATCACCAGCTGTAAGTCGCTGATTATGGCTCAATCGGCGTTAATTCATCAGTTGCAAAGTGACATAAAGACTCTAAAATGGGAGGTATTGCAAATGAGAGCAAATGGAGGAAAGGGCCTTAATACCCTTGGTTATAGTGGCGAAAATCGAAGATTATCAATCACGAAAAATGATAACAAAGAACCAGCGAGTAGAAGTGATGAGTTTTTATTTAATTATTCGGCTGACTTTGACAATATAAAACAGCAAAGTAACCCAAAGAGACCAACGGATATCTACCAAATTTCAAGTATAAGAGAAAAGGATTTTGAGGAATCTTCAGACGAATCTGAAAACCCGAATGCTGAGTTGGAGCCTGTAAGTCAATTAACTGTTGAAGCTGAAGTTCACTCTAAACAGAAAGTCAATGAAAAAGATTTTGAGTTAGTGATACTAAAAATGAAATCAAGAGCTGTGAAGAGGCCGGAAAATAAAAATATGTAATATTATGTAATTGGTACAAACCAATCTGAAGAATCTTCTAGCACTTTACTAGTGGCACTAAAGAAGGCCTTTTTGTACGTTTCACGACTTAGGCCTGGTACTACGGTCCAGCAAGTAGTCGATTTTTTAAAACTCGACTTCCCTGAAGTCAGATGCGAGCCCATTGACTCCAAATATCCTCAACATTACTCATGGTTTAAAGTAATTGTCAACTTGGCCAATGAAGACAACATCATGGACCCTAAGGTAT